ATAGTCCGGCATATCTGATAATCTGGCACCCCCTGGGTCCTAAAGGTGCCGGATTATCGGAAGTTTACTGTACATCCCTAGTATGTATGCACTGAGGTACATTGATGGACTTGTTATAAGTAAGGTTCTTGGTAGAGCTGAACTCTGTCATGTTATAAATTCTGCTGTTCTGCCAGCCTTACAGTGGCAGTGCACATGGGAACTGAATGGCAGTACAGACGGTGTGTTAATTGCTGGCTGAATGAGCTGTAAACAGGCATGCACCGGGAATGCTTTTCACTACAGAGTCTTGTGGAAATTAGAACAGGCCACTGTTTTGGCTTCCATCCAAAAGTGCCCTAGGAAACAACAGCAAAGGAGAAAAATGATTCCAGTTATACAAATAGCATTTTTTTTAAAAATTGGGCCTAATCACAGCAAAGGAGAAAAATGATTCCAGTTATACAAATAGCATTTTTAAAAAAAATTGGGCCTAATCCTGCTACTTTACTCATGTAGATAAATTCCTCAGTAGTAGAGTATCAAAATCCATGTGGCTACTCACGGACTAATTTGTTACTTCACAGGAGTAAGTGTGGCAGATTTAGCCTGCGTGAATAGTTTTTGCAAAGGTTATTTTGTGTGACAAGAGGGAACTAGAAGTTTATGAACCTCTAAGCTGTACTGAAGCACAAACACTGGAGGCTGCGTCTGTCCTACTGAAGTGCTGTACCAACACTGCATACTGGTTCTGGGCTGACAAATGACCTGCAAGCACTGGAAAGGAGCAGGCTAGAGAGTGAGGGATGTCAGGGTTTTTTCCTCCTGCTTAAAGTTTTATGATTATTGTTATCCTTAAAGCACCAGTGCCTGGAGTCAAGTGGTTATGTGATTTCAGCCTTCATTTTTAAAGAAGTAAACACGTTGGCTGTGTCTACATTGGCACGATCTTGCGCAAAAGCAACTGCTTTTGTGCAAAAACTTGCTTCCTGTCTACACTGGCTTCGAGTTCTTGCGCAAGTACACTGACGTTCTAATGTGCAAGAAGCACTGATTCCATACAAGAACTATGATGCTCCTGCTTAGGAATAAGCCTTCTTGCGCAACTGTTCTTGTGCAAGATGCCAGTGTAGACAGGCAACATGAATTTCTTGTGCAAGAAAGTCCTATGGTTAAAATGGCCATCAGAGCTTTCTTGCGCAAGAGAGCGTCTACACTGGCATGGATGCTCTTGCTCAAACACACATCCCTTGTGCAAACGCATATGCCAATGTAGACGCTCTCTTCTGGAAGAGTTTTTGCACAAGAACTCTTCCGCAAAAGAGTTCTTGCGCAAGATTATGCCAGAGTAGACGTACTTTCTTGCCCTTGTGGCTGCAGAGAAAGCTTCAAAATGTGACCCCAGTGTACCCCAATGATTAAAAAGCAGAAGACAAATAGAAAGAATACACACACACACACACACACACACACACACACACACACACACACACAAAATCATGACTTTTTAAAGCCAAGCTCTTGATTTTTGGTGAGCACGGCTCATGATTTTTGAACACTTGAGGTAAGCAATACTGCAAGATTGTTCTTATCCAGTAATTTTTTGTAAGCAAGTACAATTACAGTCTCATGCTTGGAACAAAATGAAACAATAGGTACGAGTTATGACAGCTTTGCTGTACTCTCATGGAAAATCATCATCTTCATTTTAAAGCAGTATCCACCTAGTGAGAAAATCATTCACCCTTGCACCTTGGAATAGCTGAGTAACATTCCTAAAACAAACAGAATATTGTAAACAGGTGCTTTTAAAGTGAGATGTGGAAAATATAAAGGGTCAGTAACTGCAGAACCAGACATATATGCCTATGCTTTGAATTGTACATGATATTAATGCATTGCTCAAAATCTGCAAAATTGAAGCATTCACTACTCAAAAACTGATCATCACAATAGATGCCTATTTTTGAACACAGGAACAATGGAACTGGTAGCAGGAGAAGAATCTCATGTAGCCACTAAGGGCACTGAACTTTTTCCCTTATGTAAATTTTGAATCCAGCCCAAACAGTTACACATTGCCAGAAAGCCAGCACTTAGATGATTTATTTCCAAACACATTTCTGGTGAAAAAGGAAATTAAACTGATCAAGCAGAAACTCCATCTTAATTACTATAGCGTGGTGAGTAGTAGAATAGTAATGGGTGAAACTGAATGAATAGCAACCATTCATTTTGAAAGATGGTGGTGTAAGTGCCAAAGCCATTCAGTTGCTGACTGTCATTCAACAGCACTGTGAGTGACTAAAAACTCAATTCTTGAGCAACAGTCCATCCATACCACAGAGAGTGCAGACAATATTGGCTCCAATCCTGCTGCTGGCTCTAGGTCCCACTGAAACCACAGCAAACACCATGAAACCAAATCCTGGCATTTTGGGGCACTGTTGCATGATAAAGAAGGGATATACAACCACATCCTTAACTAATTGTACTATATACATAATAAACAGCTGGAATGACTGTGGCTTAGTTTCCACAAAGCAATTAAGTGGAGCTCATCAAATAATTTATGGTTTTGGTTAGGTGGCCAATCTGTATTATCATGAGTGTAAATCCATTCCCATGGTGCTTAGTAATCTGGTGGTCACCCCACTAGAAATGGCATTGCTGTCATGAAAAGCAAGAATGTCTGATTTGAACAGCCATCAGTACAAGATATCAAGGGCCTCCAGGTAGGTAAATACAGGGGCATAACTGGTTTTTTAGGTCAAAAGACTTAAGGGAGCAATGTCTGTTCTTCCTCTTGATATATTCTATGTTAGATGGGAAGGTGATGGGAAGAGAGTTCTGCTTTCAAGTATGGATTGAAGATCCCAGCTGCAAATAGTTAAATCAATCAATGTGTTAAAAAACTTTGGACAGATACCGTGGAACTTATGAAGCGCTCTACATTGGGCAAACTCTGCTCTGATTGAGTTCAACAGGAGTTCTACCAAGGACTTCAATGGAAACTGAATAAAGCCATCACATAGTGCTTTTGAAAATCCCACCCTTGCTATACATTGCTACAGTTCTCTCTCCACTATTTCTCCCTCTCTACCTATGGGTATGTCTACACTACAGACGTTAGTTCGAACTAACATTCATAGCCTCTACACTAGCGCTCCGCTAGTTCGAATTAGCAAAACGCTAATTTGAACTAGTTTTTAAGTCTAGCTGCGCTAGTTCGAATTAGCAAAACGCTAATTTGAACTAGTTTTTAAGTCTAGCTGCGCTAGTTCGAATTAGCAAAACGCTAATTTGAACTAGTTTTTAAGTCTAGCTGCGCTAGTTCGAATTAGCAAAACGCTAATTTGAACTAGTTTTTAAGTCTAGCTGCGCTAGTTCGAATTAGCAAAACGCTAATTTGAACTAGTTTTTAAGTCTAGCTGCGCTAGTTCGAATTAGCAAAACGCTAATTTGAACTAGTTTTTAAGTCTAGCTGCGCTAGTTCGAATTAGCAAAACGCTAATTTGAACTAGTTTTTAAGTCTAGCTGCGCTAGTTCGAATTAGCAAAACGCTAATTTGAACTAGTTTTTAAGTCTAGCTGCGCTAGTTCGAATTAGCAAAACGCTAATTTGAACTAGTTTTTAAGTCTAGCTGCGCTAGTTCGAATTAGCAAAACGCTAATTTGAACTAGTTTTTAAGTCTAGCTGCGCTAGTTCGAATTAGCAAAACGCTAATTTGAACTAGTTTTTAAGTCTAGCTGCGCTAGTTCGAATTAGCAAAACGCTAATTTGAACTAGTTTTTAAGTCTAGCTGCGCTAGTTCGAATTAGCAAAACGCTAATTTGAACTAGTTTTTAAGTCTAGCTGCGCTAGTTCGAATTAGCAAAACGCTAATTTGAACTAGTTTTTAAGTCTAGCTGCGCTAGTTCGAATTAGCAAAACGCTAATTTGAACTAGTTTTTAAGTCTAGCTGCGCTAGTTCGAATTAGCAAAACGCTAATTTGAACTAGTTTTTAAGTCTAGCTGCGCTAGTTCGAATTAGCAAAACGCTAATTTGAACTAGTTTTTAAGTCTAGCTGCGCTAGTTCGAATTAGCAAAACGCTAATTTGAACTAGTTTTTAAGTCTAGCTGCGCTAGTTCGAATTAGCAAAACGCTAATTTGAACTAGTTTTTAAGTCTAGCTGCGCTAGTTCGAATTAGCAAAACGCTAATTTGAACTAGTTTTTAAGTCTAGCTGCGCTAGTTCGAATTAGCAAAACGCTAATTTGAACTAGTTTTTAAGTCTAGCTGCGCTAGTTCGAATTAGCAAAACGCTAATTTGAACTAGTTTTTAAGTCTAGCTGCGCTAGTTCGAATTAGCAAAACGCTAATTTGAACTAGTTTTTAAGTCTAGCTGCGCTAGTTCGAATTAGCAAAACGCTAATTTGAACTAGTTTTTAAGTCTAGCTGCGCTAGTTCGAATTAGCAAAACGCTAATTTGAACTAGTTTTTAAGTCTAGCTGCGCTAGTTCGAATTAGCAAAACGCTAATTTGAACTAGTTTTTAAGTCTAGCTGCGCTAGTTCGAATTAGCAAAACGCTAATTTGAACTAGTTTTTAAGTCTAGCTGCGCTAGTTCGAATTAGCAAAACGCTAATTTGAACTAGTTTTTAAGTCTAGCTGCGCTAGTTCGAATTAGCAAAACGCTAATTTGAACTAGTTTTTAAGTCTAGCTGCGCTAGTTCGAATTAGCAAAACGCTAATTTGAACTAGTTTTTAAGTCTAGCTGCGCTAGTTCGAATTAGCAAAACGCTAATTTGAACTAGTTTTTAAGTCTAGCTGCGCTAGTTCGAATTAGCAAAACGCTAATTTGAACTAGTTTTTAAGTCTAGCTGCGCTAGTTCGAATTAGCTTAGTTCGAATTAACTAATTCGAACTAAGTTCTAATTAGCGCTGTAGTGTAGACATACCCTATGAAAGCACAGTCACAAAACCTAAGGATGCACATTTAGAAAAACCAACAATAAAATGTCACACAGCGAAAAGATTGGTAACCCACATTCTAGTTTTATTGACTGCAGGCAACTTTTTATGTTTCAAATAATTAAATTCTGCAACAGTGACATTAAAAAAGACCAATTTATCAAAATAATTGTATTCTGAAGATTATGTACATATTATACACTTTACAGTTATTACATAAACAGGCATTTTTATACATAATGTAAATATGGTAACCGGAAAATCCAAAATACATGTTGGCCAAAATATTCCTATGAAATGTAAGAAATATATAGGATATACTTTAAAAAATTAGAACTAGTAAAACTATCTTAAAAATGTAAAATTGAGTTAGTAGAAATTGAATTAAATTATATTCATATTAAAAGGTTAAACTAAAAATTATTAGTTATGTATTATTCAAAAAAATTAGAGAGAAACACTTAATATATTATCACCTTATTGTTGGTAGCCATGGCATGTCTCATTTCCAGCAATGGGACATAGCCTTGGAAATCCAGATTTCCATTCTCCAGGGGTTAATTCAAGAGTACCACAATGATTAGATTACAGCCCTTAGGCCTAACCCCTTTAAATTAAACAACAAAGGTGTATAACAGTACAAATATTGTATATTTTCATGCACCTCAATTACATTAGTTGTAGGACTTGGTATACTTAATACTAACCTACCAGAGGCCCAGTTCATTGACATTTCAGCATGCAGTGCTAAAGGGAGGCAAGACACACTGCAATGTGCTTAGTTTTATCACTAGTGTGTTGTTCACCAACTAAGCACAAACTACACTTTATATAGACATCCCTAGGGATGACCTCCACTAGAAACCTGGGGGCCTAAATTCAGAAGGGGATATTTTAACAGTCTTATTAACAAACTTCAAATGCCTTAAGCCCTTTTACTTTCCAAAATGCATGTACAGCAGGCCTCACACACAATTGATCATTAAAGTGATTTCCTGATAGTGGAGCAGATAACCATTTATGAACTAGTTTGAGTAGCATCCAGTTATTCTTCCTGTAAACCAGGGCTACTCAACTCTGGAAGGCCCTGGGGCCCACAATGATATTTACAGCATATGGCAAGGGTCACAACTTAAGTGTGGTTGCATGTACATGCAAATATATGCAAATAGCTTCTTTCACACTGACGGGCATGAATACAAAGATTAAGGCAAGACTACACAAAACGCAGGCCCCATTTAAATCTGTGGTGCTGATATTAATAAAATGCAATATTTACCTGATTTCTACCCATATGACAGCACTTTTAATTATCAATGACAGTCCAGGAATTTAACTACTAAATTGCATATCAACAGAAGACCATTATATTGACGACTATTTTGTTTTGGCTCCCACCCACGGGCTGCGTGTTGAGTAGCCCTGCTGTAAATCTTTATTCTTCTTGTGCAAAGTATGTTTTCAGCTGATGGTACTATTTTAATTCTGCCCCTCTGATTGCATTATGTAGGGAACTACTCAGAAATTATACATATACTTTAAGACTGCCTTTAGTGTTTTTGCAACTGAAGCACCTTGATACACATTAAAATTGTTTCAAAATAATTGTAAATAAACAGCTGTTAAACTTAAAGCTTGGAGAGCTTGCATGATTTAAAATTTCACTGCATCTACACACTGAAATTTGATCCAGCAAGCACATGTACATACTTACCTTTAAGCATGTGAATAGACCCAATAAAGCAAATGAGACTACTGATGTGACCTAAAAGTTAAGCTCATAAGCATTTCAGGACTGGGGCTTCAGTGCACAATTCAGCTAGTCCTTACTCACATATGAACTACCGAAGGCAATGCATCCATCTGAGTGAATCATGTTGACTCAGGCATGAGATCACTTCCCAAGTAAGTCACAGTGTAAACCAAATGTGCTTTTCGAACTTGGACAATATGAAAGTTTAAATTTATACCAAAAATGTTCTTTTAAAACATTACCAGAATTATGAAAAGAATGAGACCTACTCCATTGTCTGTCCTTGTGTTGCCTTAATATAAAAGAGATGCTAATCTAGAATATCAAAATAGTGTATTCACAGATATGTATGAAAGCACCTAATAGAAAAGTAAAAAACATAAAAGGCAAACTTTGAATTATTGTAATTAAATATCCTTAGAAAAAAAGTTTGTTTCAAGCAAGGATCTTGTGTTGAACAGAACCCATAAAACATCAGTGTTACATTTCCCCTCTTCTATGAGCTTTTGCTGCAATGGCACCACCTTCCTCCTCCTCCTCCTCTTCCTCCTCATAATTTTCTTCATGACCTTCTTTTGGGTTGTTCTCTTCTTGAACTCCTTGCTCATGGTCTGCACCTTCATTGTTTTTTTCATCAGCCTGGACAGATAAAAAGAAAAATGGAAGGATTTAGTGAAAGTACATTTACCCATAAAACTTTTACTAATATATATTGTGTGGTGATTATAGCATGACCCAGAACACATGGCTGAGTTAGGGTAAAATTCTCGTGTAGGACAGAAATTATAGGTCTGAGGAAGTGAGTGCAAAGTTGGCTTTAAGCCTCTTGATTCTAGGATGCTCTGGAGACTATGTGTCATAACCCAAAATCTTGGTGGAACTATAGGCCTGCGCCTAATCCCATCCACCATGTTGAGTCCTGCAAAGTGGTCTACATAAGGCAGCCTGCAGTTGTCCCACATAATTCCTGTGTTAAGGGAACTATCCCCTATATCGTTCTAGGGTTTTATAATACTTTATTATACCACAGAAGGCTACAGTGGAGATGAAAATTTCATCCTTTGCAGTCCAATCTTTTGTTGAAGTTAATGCCAAAAGTCCCATTGATTTCACAGTAGCAGAATGCTACTGTTATTGAGTTACACTATTACATGCGGTTATAATGTAATAGTTATATAACTCAATAATCCTCATGCACAACAGAGCACAGATTCAGGGAAAGTTTCTGGGCTGTGTGTCTTAAGGCTACAGTATAGAATTTGTAGCCCTGATGTGTGTATGGGAGGGTTAGGAGCAAATTTAGAGATGCAATTAAATAGGTACGGGCAGGTGAAAAAGGGGTGGTTTTCGTGAGAAGCTGGAAGAGTTGATAAAGGAATTGTAGATGCTTGAGTTCGAGGGTCCCTAAGTTGAAAGAACATTTGTTAGGAACAGGAATGGAAGTTGAGACTGAGTGAGAGTTAACTTGTGCTTAAAAGTGAGCCTCTCCCTTTATTGTGTAATGTCTACCATGACTGTAGTATTGTTAAAGACAACTAAATCTGCTATTTTATTGTACCCACATTTTCATCATTTTCACCATATGGCTCTTCAGCATTGTGTTCCAGTTCCTTTTTCTTCTCTTCAGTCAAATCTTCCTGGACCTAAAAGGCACAAACAGACATCTCTGCAAATCTCTGGTTTCCTTTAAAATGAGCCTGTGGCAAATATTATCCTTGTACAGTAGAACTTCAGAGTAAACAGGTGAGTAATCCCACAGTTTTAAATGTTAATCCGTGAAATATGCCTTTTAAAGCATTTGAGCATTAATTTTTATGTTTATTGAACAAACACAAAACATCTCACATTTTTTTCTGCTTTACCAATAAATACCAAGTTCTTACTAACACTGCTTACACACAGATGCTATGCAGGTTGTAGCCCTCCGGTTCACTACCCCATTAGGAGGTTATTCAACATAGAGGAATCCTTGTGACTTTTTTTACACAACTATGGGATACTAGGCTTGAGGCTCCTTTATGCACTCTACATTGTGTGTCAATGTGTGCATCTCAGACCAGACTTACTCAGCCAAGCTACCAGAAACAGGCTTTATTTTGTAAACAGCACAGAGCAGGATCACAGTTCAGCAGCCTCTTCTCTGCTTGCAGCCTACACGCTCCTAGTTCAGTCAGTTCTGAGACCCTGCTGGGGGGCAGAGGGTACACTGTACAACACAACCCCCTTTACAAACATATTCTAACTCCCATGGTAACTAAACCCCACAACAAACAAGCCCATGTTCTTTCTCCCTTTGTGTCACTTAAGCTCCTCTGAGGGCACCCTACAAGCCCTATTTAGGTCCTACCAGTAAAGAACATACAACCGGATTACAGTTCAGCAGCCTCCTCTTTGCTTGCAGCCTACATGATCCCAGCTCAGTCAATGCATCACTGACAATCAACTCCCTATCCTAAAAAACAATCCCTCACTCACAGACCTTGGGAGACAAGCTACTCCTTGCTTACAGACAGCTGCCCAAACTGAAGCAAATACTCACCAGCAGCCACACACCACACAACAGAAACACTAACCCAGGAACACATCCCTGCAACAAACCCCTCTGACAACTCTGTCCACATATCTATACAAGTGACACTATCACAGGTCCTAACTACATAAACTACATCATCAGGGCTCATCCACCTGCACATCCACTAATGTGATATATGCTAGGGATGTCAATGTGTAGTCAACTACAAGATTAACTGATAAGCCTGGGCTTATCCGTTATTCTTGTCAACTACACGCACTCTCCTCCCCTTGCTGCCTCTGTATGGGAGCTAGTACCTTGATGAGCTGGCTTTAAACAGGCTCTCCACAAGCACTGGATCTTCCTCCCCTGGCCCCGTGCTGCTGCTGCTTCTGATAAAGAGACAGCAGCGTGGAGAGTGAAGAGGGCAAGCTGGAGCTGGTAAGTGCAGGGAACTGGCTTTCAAGCAGGATCCCCAAGGGTGCTGGCTCCGCAGATCTGCCTCCCCACCCCTTGCTACCTCCAACAGAGGGCACTCTTGGAACAAAGACGGGGGGGGGGGGGGGGGGGGGGGGGGGGAAGGAAGGGAGGCAGGAGCCAGCTTAAAAGCTGGTTCCCCTCATCACCAGCTCCGTGGTGCTGCCTACCTTCCCCTCTGTACCAGGTACTTCTGTATCAGAGGCAACAGCAAAGGGTGGCAGGCAGTTGGTTTGCATGGAAAGCTGGTTTTTAAACTGGCTTCCCTGGCAGACCAGCTCCCGCCTGCCACCCTGCACGACTGTCTCTGATACCGAGGCAGCTGTATGGAGTAGCAAGGGACTCCCCGGGAGTGGGGCTGGAGCATACTGGCTGCTTACCCCACACCTGGAGACTCTTAAATGGTTGTGTAACCACTAAGATTTCATGCAGTTACATGCCAATTCAATTACACAATATTTAACATCCCTAATATATGCTATCAAGTACCAGCAATGCCCCTCTGCCATGTATATTGGCCAAACTGGACAGTCTCCATGCCAAAGAATAAATAGACACAAATCAGACATCAAGAAAGTTCAAAAGCTTCAGAGGGGTAGCCAAGTTAGTCTGTTCAGGATAAACTTAAAAAACAACAAAGAGTATGGTAGCACTTTAAAGACTAACAAAACATGTAGCTGGGGGGTGGAATAAAAGGAGGCAGGGGTATATAAATATCAAAGGGAAAACTGAGCTGGTATGTAACAGGTGAAACTGATAGTTAAAAGGAGCAGATAAGGACCATTAGTTAGCAATTAGAGAGGAAGTGTATTAACATCAGAATCTACACAGACAAAGAACCATTGGCACCTTCATTGTCTGGTTGGTTGAAAATGTCCTAGCCATCTGGTATCTTGATTCAAACCATTGGCATGTAAGAAAGTTAACATACATAAACCTGTAGGGGAACACTTACACCTTCCTGGACATTCACCCTTCTAACAACCAACCAACCAACCAACTAAACCAACCAACCCCTTCAAAACCAGATTACAAAGGGAAACAGCAGAACTGTTGGTTATCTCACTACAAAGGCCATTTCCCCCTTCTTGGGATTCACACCTCCCTGTGAATACAGCTGCTGTGAGTGAACAACATCTAACCTGATTTGACTGGCCTTATTAACACTTGATAAGTAACTTCCTTCTTTTTTTATGTAATTTCCTCTGTAATTTCCTCTCCAATTCATTTGATGAAGTGGGTTTTATTCACAACAGCATATATTCTAATAAATCTGTCATAGTCTCTAAAAATGATTTTTTTTTAACTTTTATAAAACTCACTGAAGTTCACCAGAACGAACTGAGATCTGTTATGCCACCTGATTTCCACCCATACTCTACACTCTTTTTATTACCTCCTCTTCTCCCTCTTCTTGGTACTGTTCGTCCACATTGTCTTCTTGCTGATCAGGATTTCCTGCCATCTGCAGAAACAAAATGAAACATAGTTCTACCATGCAGGCCTCTTTATTTTAGTAATGCAGATTGTTAGAGCTACTTGCACTGCAACTAAAATCTCCCGCATTCCAGAGTAATAGTGCAGGAAATTTGTAATTTGTTGAACATCTTTAATAATAGACTGGTTACATCCTTTATACCAAGTTAAATTTAAAAAAGAGTGGACTGGTTATAATGAAATCATTGCACAACACAAGTCAGACTACTGACACCATGCAAACAAAAAATACAGTCCCTGCCATATGAAGTTCATAGTCTAATGGAAAATACAATAGGCAAGATGCAATGGGAAGCCCAGAGGAAAAAACTGAAAAAACCTGTTTACTGGGAAACTTTACTTGTGGAAATCATGAAGAAGTCAGTCTTCATGAGGGATATGAGTGAAGGCAGTGCAGTGGCCTGGATAAGTATAATGGGAAGTTGTCCACGCAGGGAGTAGCATACAAGGTGACATGATAGCAAAACAGGTCATTGAATCTGGCAGCGGGGCGAGGGTGATGTGATTAGAGACAAAGTCAAGTACCTGAAGTAGTTCTATGTACAGAACACACAGGTAAAATTACAGTACAGGTTGGACTTCCCTGGTCTGGCACCCTTGGGACCTGACTGATCTCGAATGAGGGAGTTGGCTGGACCATGGGAGGTCAATTCTGTCCCCCATGCTGCCAACCTCCAGGCTCTCCTGGGGAGTGCCAGCCTCCAGGTGCTCCCCCCCCAGACAGAGCTGCCAGCCACTCTGTTACCAGCCCCAACTGCTGGCCACTATGCCCTGGACTCCTGGCCGCTGGAGCTCTCTGGTCTAGCAACATCTGTGGTCTTAGTACCAAATTTTGGACATTTGTTACTACCTTGTACAGTAAAGTGTCAGTTATCCGACATAAACGGGACAGGAGGATGGTCGGATAACCGGAAATGTCGACTAACAGGGACGGCACTCTCCTCTCCCCTTCCTGCCTCGGCCCGGACTCCCCGCTTGTTCCGGCCGGGAGCTGGGCTTGCTCCTCAAGGGGGCAACTCCCTCTCTTCCCCCCCACCCCCAGCCCACAAAGTTTTGGGCAGGGGAAGCGGGTCTGGGCCTTCTCCTAAAAGCGTCCTTCCCCTTCCTCTTCTTCCCTCCTCCCCTGTGCCCTCCGGGCGTGCCCAAGGCCCCGGCGCTCCTGCCTCTCCTCAGCCCAGTGGCGGCCCCCCCCCTCGCCATACCCCTCCCCCCACTTCCCTTCAGCCCGGACTCCCTGCTTGCTCTTGCCGGGGGGCAACTCCCTCCCTTTCCTCCCACCCCCAGCCCGCAAAGTTTTGGGAGGGGGAAGCGGGTCGGGCAGTTTGGCCAGGATCGGGCCCTGAGCGGCGCACGGGCCCAGCATACCCGAGCGCCGGGCAAGCCCGCAGCGCGAGTGTGAGCTGCCCCAGGCGTAACGTAGGGAGGTAAGGTTGCCCCCGCAGACCTGCCAACCAAAGCTCCTGTCCAGCCCTGGAAAGAGGGAAAGCAAGGCCATTGTGGTATGAAGTGTCCCTGGAGCCCCTTGCCTTCACGGAAGGTCAGATAAGTGAAGATTGGATAACCGAGACTTTACTGTTTAACATCTTTTGAAAAGCCATTCTCCGCTTAGCTGTAAATATGTACACACAATTACACATATTCTACAGATGTTTCCTTTTATCTGCTCACCACTAAATGTTCTTCCATCTCAGGATTCTCCTGCTTCGGATTGTTTTGTTTGTGTTGTTCATTCTCATCTGGCAGATTCTCTTCTCTCTCTTGTTCAGCTTCTTCAAACTCATCCTCTCCCTGATTGTTGGGATCATCAGCTGGGTTCACATCTTCCACTGCTGCTTTCTGTAATTTTTAGATGGGTGTATAGTGTAAGAACATTTGTCACAGCAACTCCATTTCCCTTGAGAGTTGTTATAGTAATAGTTACCTCAGGGCTGATCGAGTGCCAAAGGAAGCCAACAGGAGTTTTTCCATTGGCTTCGGTGGGCACTAAATCAAAACCTTAGCAATTATGAAAAGTGGCAGATTTGCAGCTCTGGAAAAAATATATTAGCTCTGAATAAGGATACAGCTGTGATGTGCACATCTGTGTACTAGAAACTAGACCAAGGATACCAATTCATTTTACATAGGATACTGCAAGGCTTTTGGTTACTGACAACGCAGCAAGTAATAATATCTGATAAAGTACAGCTCTTTATGGGCAGCAAAGTGAGGTTAGAATAGCTAAGGGTATGTCTAGACTACACCTGTCTGTTGACAGAGAGATGTAGATTAGGCACATTGAAATTGCTAATGAAGCCGGAATTTAAATATCCCTTGCCTCATTAGCATAAACATGGCCACCACTTTTTTCGAAACAGAGTTTTTCGAAGGGAAAAAAACCAGCAGTCTAGATGCGGATCTGTCAAAAATAAAGCCTTTTTCAATAGATCCCGTAAACCTCATTTTTTAAGGAATACAGGCTCTGTCGAAAAAACTATATTTTCCACAGATCTGCATCTAGACTGCCATTTTTTTGGAAAAAAAAAAACATTTTGAAAAATGTTAATGAGGTGCAGGGTATTTAAATCCCAGCTTCATTAGCAATTTTGATGTGCTTGATTTGCATCCCTCTGTTGACAGAGGGATGCAGTCTAGACGTAGCCTAAGTGTCAAACTCTGTTTAGGCCTGACTTCACATAGTGCACAAAAGTTGCTCTCCATGCTATGCTAGGCTGTGATACATTGACCCAAGCCACATTTGCATCTTACTTAAAGGAAAAAATGCCTGAGATCTCCTCAACCTTTGCTATTCAATATATGCCGTTTCCCCCTTATGTTTATTATCCATTATTATCCTGTAAATTAAATACTGCAGCTACCAAGACAACAGTAACCTCTCTGGGCTAAAAAATATTCTTCTCTTCAAATACTTGCCATGCAATCTAGTCTACTAAATAAAAATGCAAGTGTGCAAGATCATAGAACTGAAGAAAATAATGCAGAAGTGGATTCTCCTCCCTCCCTGTGTTGTCTCAGACAGCCAATGAGCTTGGCTACTGCTTTTGTATCAGTGTTCCGAGGCATTCTGTCTTTCAACAATGAAGACCTTGCTAATTTCAAAGAAAACAAATATAATTAAATAAAAAGAATAAAATGTGTCCAAGATCTTATTTCAAAAGTCAGATTTGTCTTACCACTGGCTCATCTGCCGGCTGGTTTTCTGTTCGATGCTCTGGTTCTTGCTGCTCATTGGCATTAATTTGATCTTCTACTTCTTCAGCTTCATCTTGGTGCTGATTGTCCCTTTCATACACTGACAAAATTAATTATTAGCATGAGGATTAAAGTAGCTTCTGGAGCCCACAACTTAGAAAAAGGCCCCATTGTGATAGATGGTGTGCATATGCACCCCTATCCTGAAGAACGTATGATAAAAATAGATAAAAGGATTTTGTCTTAATTTTAAAGATGGGAAACTGAGATACAGAAAAACTAAGTGATTTGCTCAATTTCAGGCCAGAATTCTATGGCAGAGCTAACTCCTGAATCCAGACCTCCTCAGATTGTGTCTAGTACCTTCACTGCAAGGCAGACCTTCTTCTTGCATGTATATAATCTTAACAAAATCCATATCTTAGGAAACACATCTACTAAAAATCACAAATGAACCTTAAAGTCTCTAATTTTAATAGTAAGCTAAATACAGCGCTCTTATTGGAAACCAAAACAGATGCACTTATTTCTAAATGGATGATACTGTCTGACTTTGAAAACAGTTCAAATGGGGAAAAGAAAATAATTCAGTCTCACCTCCATCCTCTTCGTGGATGCCTTGCTCCTCTTCTCCTTGTACAATATCATGGTCCATATTGTCATAATGAGCTTGTTGGCTAAAAAATTATACGGAAAATGCAGTTTTAGTTTCACAGATCTGGCTTTTTAAAAAGGATTCTTAGGTTCACATTACTTTTAGCTAAGTTATTCCATTAGCATTTTTAAAAGGAAATACACATGATGCAACAAGATGATTTTGTGTAGGATGCCTTAATAGCCTTTGCATCTCTTTTCCTATCTATAGAAATGGAGGCTAGTACTTATTTATTTGTAGGGCTGTTACAAAAACACAAGCTAGTGCCTCTACAGTGCTTTGAAAATTTGAGGGCTAAAAAATGAAACCAGAGCCTAAAATTCAAAAAGATGTTTAATAAAAGGCATTAATTTAGGTATTGTTATGGCAAAGACTTTGCCCATGTGACACTCCCTCTAGGATTAGGGATTTGGACTATACAAAATCACAAAAGGCTTCCTGGTAGTAAGTGCAGGTTATTTTTTTTTTAATGTTACTCATGTTAATACTTCCCTGTGAGTGTGTTCAGCAGACGTTTCTGTAAAGATCATCAAACAGGGTTAAGGTTCAAAAAAATAAGTGAAGGCCACTAATGGCTTTGAAATTATCTACGCAGGAGAACAGAAACAGTATTAATTGAAAACAATCGTTAAATGGGGGACTGAAGGTAGTGGTAGGCAGGTGAAAGATAATCCACAGTACAGTACATAGATTGATTTTGACAAGCATCAAGTTCTCATGAAATTGTTTAAAAATATTTTCCATTTATGGGATGCTGTACATCATAAGACATCCTAACACATTTCAAAAACTGAAAATTGTGTTGTACAGCACTGCTGACATATGGCCACCTCTGGGGTGAAGAATGACCACCAGATAGTACAAAGCAAGCCACATAACCATTCTGGGGAAAAATGTATAAACGTCCAGGACACCAAACACATACTTGGAGCAGCTAACCCTCTTGCTGCTTCCATCTCAAAAGCTACCTTCTATTTTTAGCCCACTAGCTCAATGACACCTAGTGGGAGATGTCTTCGACGTGCAGTTTACACTGAAGTGTAGACATAACCCAGGAAACCCAGAGTGCAGACCACAGCACACATGTGAGAGAAGTTGTTAACCTTAGCTGGTTTTTGTACTGCTCTTCTCCTCGTTCCGCTTGTCTCCGTAGTGCAAGCTCTTTTTCCTGAAGCTGCTGCTGCCGTAATAATTGCCCTTTCAGCCTCTGTTGGTGTAGAGATTCCTGATGCTCCCTTAGCTGTTTGGCTTCTTCAGCTCTTTGGGCTGCCAGACGTTGCTGTTCCAACTGTTCCTCATAGGCCGGTTTGTATCTTCTTGTTACACTCCGTGTCAGAGTTTCCTGTGAAAAAACATATTTGAATATACGCACTTTCAAACTTGTCTTCTTGGGAACTCATTTCCTTTCACTAGAGGAATGATTTTCCTGGTAGAACATCAACCAGAAATGGGCATGCAAAAATTGCTGAGGCTAAAAAAGGAATGTCTGGGAGAAAGGAGAGAATTATGCAGGCAATGGATGAGAACAATGTTTGATAGCAAAACGGTGGTTTATGTTTGTAAAGTCCAACTTCACTCTTGAAATTTTCACCATCTTACTTAAAGCTACACATTAAATGTTCCCATTATAATCACAGCTGCTTTTTAAAAGGAGAATTAGAATACATGAGACTGTGGTATACAGCTTTTAGCACCATAAATTTGACACGAAGATCCCATATTGATAGGTACTTCACATATTTTAGAAAGTTAAAAGAATCCTGTTATTATTGGCTGTCAGAGGTGGGGTTGATCATACGGGCAGTGTCAGAGAAAGAATCAAAGATTTTTGGTAAATGCAGTTTAGGCTATTGGCTATCATCAAAACATAGTGCCATATAGTACATGTCCTTCAACCCATATGCCGTGTGGAATACATCATGTGTAAAAATATCTTACCTAAATGAAAACCGTGCTGAACTACTCACAGTTGGTTAAATGACACATCCTGAAAGCATCCCCACATTTTCTTTCTTTTTTTTTTTTTTGGTACATTACTAAAAAATGATAGGCGTGGAAGAATATCAAGATTACTGACATAACACTGTTCCAATAGACTACAATTATTGTTTTGTTCTTAACATGAATGAACAGCTTGACTGGGTCTTAAATGAGAAACTATACACTATTTGCAACCAGGCACAACAAAGGCAGTCATTGTGCAATCTCCTGCCACTGCAGCTAAATTATGATAACCTCCTAACCTACAATGTCCCTGACATTCTGGTCCAGAGCCAAAGTTTTTCCATCATGCTTGATTTCCGTAATTGTTTTGTTAGATGGATAAATGTATACAAGGATTAGGGTGAGACCAACAAACTAATTTTTCTGTTTGAGACTTGATACAAAATACCTTTCCACATCTTAATGTCTCTGTTTAAAGCTCCACAGAACACGTCTCCCCCTTACTTTACTTTCAATTCCCTTTGCTTCTCTAGGCATGCTCACCTTTTAAAAATGCTTTGTCAAAATATTAGAAAAAACTTGAATGAAAAATATTTATTGGAGTTATACCAATAAATAGAAAGGAAATGTAATTGCATTTCCTATGGCATATCAAATTTAACATTCTAAAGAAAGCTTCCCCCCTCCAAAAAAAAACCCAAATGCAAATCTCCCCCTCCTACAATCTACAAGCTTTAGTCTCAACTCAACATGGCTTTTCTTTTGCATCTGCCACTTGGATAATTACATCCAATTGAGAAAGCACGTAATCATGTGCTTAATTTTAAGCATATGCTTAGAGTGTCAGGCATTTAAGTGCTGTCTTTGAAATGTTGTCTTGCTCCTCAACTATCTGCAAATCAAAATGATACTAATTAAATCTGCAACTAATTGCAGGTGTCAAACAAGGACTGCACTTGACAGGTGAGAGACAGAGAGGCCATTTTTAAAACAACTGTTCAGCAAATTAACTAAAGGGGAGAAGAGAATCCTGCACCTCTGAGTGAATGTGTTCACCCAGCATGTTGGCTGCTGCTGCTGCTTTTTGTTCACGTTCTTTCCATTCATGTTCTTCTGGTGCTTGATCCTGTTCTTCCACCAAGTGCTCAGGTTGCCCTGCCTGCTCCATTTCTTCCTCTTCAAGTTCTTTTCTGTGCTCCTCTTCAACTTGTTCCAGGTGATGTTCTTCTTCTTCTCCTGCTTCTTGTTGCTGCTGAATATTCAGTTCTTTATGAGGATGACCCTCATTTGCTTTTCTGCCTACATGTAAAGGTTCATCGCCATCTTCTCTTCTCTTGACATTTATTTCTTCCCTCTCCTGTAGCTTTGCCTCATTCTGGAGTACCTGTGGAAAATGCCATATTAAATTCCATGATATTTCAAATATGTCTCTACTTCCAGAGTCCATGACACTATAAAATATTTGCATGACTTCCAATAAAGGCTTAAAATTCGGTAATTTTCAATTAAAAAACTGTCCCCGTTTATTATCATCAGTGATTAGTTTTGATAATCACTTAAGGCCTCTTTCAGGCTGTAGACTCAAAGTAATCTCCAACTAGCAGCTAACCATCTATTTACCTATTTGTAAGTATAAACAAAGTAATCTTTATTGATATGTGTATCCACATTAATTGTTGGCACAAAAGAATACAATGTATTTAGGGCACAAATTATACCTGCAGAAAGTAGTAGTTACTGAATATCTAACTCATAATTTATAATCTTCTCAGATTTGGTTATATTCTAAAAAATGTGAAGGGTGAGATTTCCAACCTTGCTCATGATGATCCCCACATTATTCCTAAAGCAGAATCCTACTGAAGTCTGTGACAACTTGTGGAGTCATGAGTAAAGGTAGCATACGTCAATTGTGTTCTGCAATAAAAATTAAGGACCAGATTCTGATACACTTACTCACGGTGAGTAAAATTTCATTCAACAATCAGAACCTACTTTAAGAGTAAGGTTCTACTAAGTTTGAGTATGGGCATGAGAATTTAGTCCTTGGATCTATGCAACTAAAAATGACAATGGGCGTGAAATATCTCAATCTTCTCAAACTATTTAATAACAATAGCCATTGATGCTTAAGAAATTAAATTAAGACTGCTGAAGATCTAAAACTAGAGATGAGAACGGGTACCGGTTACATGGTAAGCATCACCCTTACCAGGTGATGCTTACTGTTAACCAGCAGCCCCATGGGGCTGCCAGCTCGCCCATGGAATCCTGCTTAATAGTAACCAGTTAAACATAACTTCTAATCAGTTAACTGATTAAACAGGATTTTATATCCTTAGCTAAAACACAAGTTGTCAACATCATATATCAAAATATGTCAAAACCAAGTATATTTAAATCAAACATCTTTTGTTTCCTATCTGCAAATTTTGATTTTTCATCAATGGAATTTTATTTTCATTATTTTGTGTGTATGATGAAATCAACATTACTGATATTTAAATCCAAGTCCTCCAAACTCATTTGTTTTATTTCAGAAATATTTAGTTCCATATGACTAAAAATGATCTTTTCCCCATATCTTACATGTAAACCCACACTTTTCTTTTCACGCAACTAAAATATTTCAGTTGTAAAATATTGAAAAGATACATTCAGAGGTCTTCAGAATTTGTGTTTCAACCAAAACAATCTGGCAAATTCGCAAAATATTTCAGCCTAATCCAATCTGCATTTTGCATCCAAAAATTTTGTCCAAACATTATCAAGCCCCAACTGAAAATCATCAGGGAAAAAAACCGCTGTAGCAGCCAATGATGTTCACCTCTTTTTGATCTTCAGCTGCATTCTTCTCATGTGCTGGGAGGTTGCTATTTGTAGGTGTTACTGCTGCCATTGCTGCCTCCTGTTGAACATTTGGCTGCTCTAATTTCCCAGGTTGTCGAAAACTTGGCATTTTGTTGAGTGTGTCCTTCAGTTGCTTATATTCTTCTACCTGGGACTAAAATTGAAATATACCCACTGTACTACCCGAGATAAGCATATTAAAATACACTCATAAATACTCATTCCGAGTGGATTTGTTGGCACAATGTGTACACAGAATCACTCAACATGCACATTAGATCAAACATCAAGATTCTAAGACTGGTTGCTTTGATGTATTAGACAGCCTTGATTTAATACATATTCATCAATCACAATGAACATGCAAATACAAAGCACACCGGAAAATCCTTACAGCACAGAGATGGCGATTAGTTTTTCATGCCAGGTAGAAAAAGAGTTGAAGTGAATGATTAAATTTTCTTTGCACATATTAAAATGAATGAAACAGAGTGCCATGGATTGTTTCCCATCTGCTCAATAGCAAGAGATGCTATTTTTTTAAAAAACAGTAATCACGTTTTTTTTAAAAATAGAGTCATAAGTGATAAAAAGTCTTGGCTATCCTCAACCTTTAGACAATTGTTACCAATAGACAAGCGTCAAGAGAAAATATGAGAGAAAACAAATCACTCAAGCTGGAACAACTTTAATGGAAAACACCACCACTTCCATTGGTGGAAGGAAATGAGTAGAAAGGGAAAAGATAAATTTTGAGCTATTAAACATCCCTTCACACCCCCAAAGTATGATGTCAGGGATCCACTTATTTGCAACTGTACTGATGTTTTTCAGGCCAATGGAAGAGTTGTTCACTTTCAACAAGCTACCCATCCAGGCTGGATATACAGGAAAGACTGGGAATCTTTTTGCAGGCCATCACTCATAAAGCAAATGTATAAGAAAAACCATTCAACTCAGAAAGCAGGATATATTCAGAATGGACATCTTTCACAATCAATTACATGTACTGGATACACAAAAGACAGCGCCTAGCATTGCAGCTTATCATTTACATTATAACCCCTCCATATTCTCCTGTTCCACTTCCCCACTCCTTGTTTTAAGGTTTATAACTCTGTGGGAAAACATTTAACACTATTTGGAGCTAAAAACTGTCACAAAAATCACTCATCTTTAAACAACACTTAAAAATTGCTCAGAGCATTCTTATTGTTTGAGGGAAGGGTGGGTTTTAAAGGCATTAGAGTCTCTATTACCACTGACTGGGAGTAAATAAAATGAAAATCCTCAAGTTTTTATTTTGGAGAGGTGGTAAATCCAAAAATATTTTGGTGGTTAAAAAAAATCCAAATTAAGGTTTAGCAATGACTACATAGTTCCCATTTTGTACTTTATGTAATATAACAATCAATAGTACAGCAGACAGACATGATGCATCATATCAAATCAGTGTATAATATATATACAAAACAAAATCCACGGTGCTATAGCATGACATGATGCACTATGTGATAATAGCTCTGAAGTTAGACGCACCTCAAAGCATCTTCAAAACACTGGCATTGATTAAAACGGAAAGGCCTAAAAGCAAAGAAGAATGTTAAATAATTACAAGTCTGACTTTTCTCTCTCTTCCCCCTCCCATTTGATTCATTAGCATCTCTGACTATACGTTTTACAGGAAAGATTAAAGACTTTGTTAACTACTCTCCCTAGATAAAACTGGGACTAAGAGTCTTAAAACATGAAAAGTTATCTCTGCATCTGGATTTTCTTGCCCTTTACTGGCCATGTACAGAGATTACTATATACAGGATAGTCTTAACAGTGTTCTAAGTTCCTCCACTTCAGTATTCAAAGGTTGATGCTATACTCCATCCATCCCATCACACAAATCATCCAAGCTAAAGTTGTCATTCAAGGTCTTAGCCTAAAGGGAATTAATATGGGCATGAAAATAGAGTTTATAATATATAACTTTTCTATAGAAAAGCTACAAAAATCCACATAAGTGGTGGTACTTTAAAGATTCAGGTCACAAGTATTAGTGTAATGGTGACTGCTGACATTATCCATCCTTTTAAATGTCTATCTTATGTCCAACAATGTCCGGGTTCCTTTCTGGATGGTTAGCCTGAGTAGTACTGCTATGAATCCTTTTGTTCAGCAAGTTTGCAAGAAAAGCTGTGAAAACTATTAAGTATGATCTGTTGATTTCAGAGAACTCACAAGAATACATGTGTGAGTACTCTGTTTAATACAATGATTGTAAAATTATAGATGTGGGCAGATAAAGTCCAAAGAAAAGCAAGCATAGGTTTAATGTTGAAAAGTGAATGAATCAAAGCCCAGTGAAGTCAATGAAATTTTTCCCATTGACTTCAGTAGATGATAGATTAGGCCATGGATAGAATTCCAAGAGAGGGCTGTGTGGAGTGGTTTTTTTTTTTAAGATCTTAGCAAACAACCTCTTGGATTTTAGCTGAGAGTGGAAGAAAGATTATAGCCTGTTACAGTAAACTTCCGATAATCCGGCACCTTTGGGACCCAGGGGGTGCCGGATTATCAGATTTGCCGGACTATCGGAAGGGGGGGATATGAGGGGTCTGGGGATGCCACCCCAGAACCCTCACAGCCCCTCC